GTGGTTATCTCATCAACTCAGCTCTCAGTTAACATAAGAAAAAGAGGATCATGGGGACCAATGGTCACCGATTAGGCATTGTATGTTGTAAGAGGGCGCAAGTAGCTACAAGTAGTGCAGTGGGCCTTTAAACGCATTATCTGTCAGACTTGACACTCCTGGCGCTCCCCATTATTTCCCTGGCTCTAGCATGGTACGTGGCCATTACGGCGCTCTAACACCACCTGGGTTGAGTGTGGCAAATGTTTATCGATAGGGACTTTTCGATTTGCAAGACGAGCACGTGGACTGCGACGTGTGACATCCTTTTAAGGCCCTGTCGGTGCCTTAAAAGGACGTCACACGTGACTGCCAGTGCCTTAAAAGGAAGTCACACGTCCACGCAAATAGAAAAGTCCCTAGTGTCTTGCCAACTGAGGACATGAGTGCCGCGGCGGGACTCGAACCGCGGACCTTGTGAATTGTGATCCACAGTCCGGTGACATATCCACTCTACCACGACACCCAATACCTAGTTCCAACTTTATAGCAGAGAGGGGAATCGATGCGAGAACCAACAGCGCAAGTAGGAAAGCGGTGCTACAAGCTGACCCGAGATGGCGTTAGATGGGGAGTCGCAATTATTGCTTCTCGTACAGTATGGCTTTACTACACTGGTATTTAGATTTCTCAGTTCCATCTGCTTATCTTCCAAATACAGGACCAAATTAGTGTAGTACTCGGTGTTGTTATTGAGGTTTTATTTTATAGCTGGCTAGACTAAAATGTTGTTGTATCTTTTCATGTAAAAACACATTCATTATGTAGTGATTTTTATTGCATGTATTTCTTTGGAGATCTATGTCATCTCTTTTGTCGTTATATTTGTATCGTTATTTGCTAAGATCCTGCTTAGAATAAATCTTCTTGTTCATTCTTGCGTGTAGAGGCCAATGAGAAATCCAGATTGTGTTAAACAAAGGAGGGGCAGCCCACCAAAATGTATACATACCGGGATTTTATTTCTTCTAGGGGCTTTTAAATGGGAGGGGGCGGAGAGTGGGGGGAGGGTATATGAAATGATCACACTATGCTAGTGAGTGGTAGATAAATTGGAGGCACAATAGCCTATGTATACATAAGTATGGATATAAACACATGTTAACCATTATGGAAAAGTGTTGTGTTTATTCAGGGTATGCTTTACTGCCCCTATTTATACATGTAGATTTTATTTCTTCTAGGGGCTTTTAAATGGGAGGGGGCGGAGAGTGGGGGGAGGGTATATGAAATGATCACACTATGCTAGTGAGTGGTAGATAAATTGGAGGCACAATAGCCTATGTATACATAAGTATGGATATAAACACATGTTAACCATTATGGAAAAGTGTTGTGTTTATTCAGGGTATGCTTTACTGCCCCTATTTATACATGTAGATTGATTATTTCCTTTAACAAATATGCCTTTAAAATGAATCGTGTAGTATATTCATTGTCATACAAGAATTCTTTTTCTTCTAAATATTCTTCAGTTTATAATGTCATGATTTTATTAAAAAAACGGCATTTCTACATAAACGATGATAAATCACAGCGCTGTGATGGAAAATAAGCCACAAACCTCAGACCGCGTAATGTTTTAGAAGAAAAAGAATACGCATGTATTAATTATGGTGTTTGTAAATTATCAGATTCTGTAAAGGGTACTATGTATATTTTGCAGACTCGAGCAAGATTTGGCAATTGCTAAAAACGCCGACAAGAGACAATAACCATATTGTATACTATTTTATTGGCGCTTCTATTGCGCTTCTATCGTTTTTTAAAAATAATAATGACCCCTCGCGCATCTTAACAAATCACACTGCCTTGAAGTTGAGATTACATTCTATGCAGGGATGGATCTACGGGGCGGGGGGGAGGGGGTGTAAGGGGTTTAACCCCCCCCCCCTCCCCTTGGGCTGCCAAGTGAAAATGTGATGTGCATAGAAAAACGCCATCATTGTGTCCAGACCCACACAGTATTAGTAGATGTTAATAGATGCCAGAAAAACATCACCTACGGGGGTTCAAAATAGCACCCCAAAAAAGCGGCTCGTGGATGATGCTCCGCATCGTCCTTTGGTCAACCCCCCCCCCCCTTGCTAAAAAGCTAGATCCGCCCCTGCTTTGTATGCGATGTTATGTCATCTTGATGACTTCGTTACCTATGCTTTCTTAACATGTGCTGGTAATCTATTGCAGCCGTATGCCATTGTATACAGTTTTTATTAAGCAGACCATCGTCAGATCTTTGTTTTTAAAAACAGTTTTGTAATATATTTAAATACGATCGCAAAGACTCTCAAGAGCTCAAGACATCAAAGGCAATTCGCATTACCCTTTTTTTATTTTAGTGAAATCAGACCCGGATGATGGAAGATGTAATTGTATTGTTCACACATTATTTTCAAGAGGTAAGAAACGATTAGTTTCTATAAATTTCCTTAATTTGATTTTTTGAAAGTTCTCGCGATCTTATCCTTAACATTTATTTGACGAATGTGCAATAAGAAAGTCTACATCGTTCAGAGTTTGGCTACATATCAGATTGCCATTAGTAGCGGCACTGATTATTGCAATATTTCTACTTTGTTAATATTATATTGGGTCACAGTCATTAATACTCTAATGGTATATATACATCTTATTCTTAATATTCTCTCTACTATTTAATCTGTACTTGCTTAATTTTCAATGTTTCTTTTTAATACTTAGTTTTACATTTTGGTGTCGAAAATGCTATTTTGTGAGATACATATTATGTTTACATAAATGACCATGTTTACATAAATCTGTGATTTGTGAAATCTACATGAAAATTGTAATATGGTTCATGTATTTTTAAACCGTTAATATAACCAGGGGCGTAGCAGGAGGGGGCAAGGTCATTAATACTGAACTTTCCCCAAAATATTGGAGGAGGGAGGGGTAATACCCCCACGACGCCCCCGACGTATACGTATAATTAAGTCAGCATTATCTTATGTCCATCGAAAAACGGTTGTACATTGTCACATTTTAATAATTATAGCAAATAAATACAATTTTATCAAATTAAAATGATAATTGATCATCTTGTTGATTTAATTACGCTTCAATTTTTGTTAACGTACAAAAAAAATTCTGTAATAGAATGTGACGTTCCCCGATCTATATGTCTTCTTGTCATCGCCTCAATCACACTTACATTGAAATTTCATTTCTGTTTGCCTACGGTTTGTACTAATGTATTGTTTTGAAATATTCACAATTTTCAGAAAGCATGGGTGTGTGTATGGGTATGTACGTGGATGTGCGCGGGTGTTTGCATGTGTTCGGGCAGGCGGTGGGGGTGGGTGGGGAAGAGGGGGCGGGGGTGTGAAGTGGCAAACAATGCCTGTGATCCCCCTTGGATCTACCCCCCCCCCCCACCTCCCCCACAACGCCAGAGGAACCTGGGTATGCCTTTGCGAGATACAAATCCAGACAGGTTTAATGAGCTGGTTAGCCTGCGGTTGTGGAGAAACATCGCCTTTAAATAAAAATAAACGACGACAACAACAAAACGGACAAAAATAACACTAGCCGGTCAATAACAAAATGAACTTTCTATTTTGTTTAATTCTCCCAAGTAATACCGCTTGCTACAGCAGCTAGATTTATAAGTACACAAGAATACAAGACGCATGATTATTGGGATAATAAATTGTTCAAACTAGACCACAATTCTTTATAATGTTCCCCAGTGATCTCAAACATAACAAAATGTAGTTCTGTAATAAAATACTACACATTATTCCATTTACAGTCACATTAAAGACCTTTTTAACATCATAACATAATAGGAAATGAATAGAAATATACAATTGTATACACATTGCAATGATGTAATTTGAAATTAACAATTGTATACATACGAAACTAATGTAAATTTGAAAATAACTACATGTATGCATATTCCTTTGATGTAATTTGAAATTCAATGATTTTATACATATTCAATTGATGTAATTTCAAATTATATAATTGTATAGGTATTAAATTTAAAAAAATGCATGTATGTTTCGTTGATACCATTCACAAAAATCAGAATTGTAGATTATCATCAGTGATATCCACTTCATACTGGACAATTTTTCTTTTTTGACAACATTTGCGAATTAAGAAAATACACAAATAACTGCCAAATTACCTAACTGGGGTTCTGTCTGAAGTAAAAAATATAAAAACATTACTCTTAAATACGCCTATATGACTAAAATGTAGTGTATGGTAATTCCATACTGTACAAAATGCAAAACATCCATGATACAAATATTCACCCTGAAAAGATATTAAAAACCACTAAAACCATTTTTACATGATAAAAAACGAATGCCACCTATAAGTACTATACTATGCTTGTATTACTTTAAGAATAGAATGGTAGACGAAACCGCGCCAATTGCAGGATCATGAATTTGAGAAATCTGTTATATGGTTATTATAAGTAGATTATGATAACAATAACAATGATAACAATAATAACAAAATATTCAATATCAATATAAATAATACTACAAATAAAATACAATACATGTTTCTTAAAAAGCGCTTAACCATTAACTGCTAAAAGTGCTTACAATATAATTGTATCCCGATAAATGGACACAATCACTATTCTAAACAATAACGCACAGATTTCCCCACTCCTGTGAAACATTCCTGCAAGTCGCCTTTTGATTTAAGATAGTGTAATAAGAAAGTAGATTTTGAAACCTTTCCAAGACCACAATATGTGATTTGTATACGAAAAAATAATAATAAGAAAAAAAAAGCCTCAGATGATAGCACCAAAGAAAAATGACACATACACAATTTCCCTCTTAGAGCAGGGCCCGTCTTATATAGAGTTGCGATTGATCCAAATCAAAGACAAGTCCTCCAATCAATCGCAAGTTTGCATTTTAGTATCTCTTAAGTACATAGTTGCGATTGATATCAATCACAAGCAAGTTGCGGTTAGTATCAACTCTTTATAAGAAGGGACCCAGGATTAACTTTTGATGACTCCTTTCATAACTTAAAGATTTGTTTATTTTTATAGTAAATACATAGTACATTCTAGTGCTAATGCCACATGAAAAAGATTGCTAAACACGACTAGAATTATTCAAAACATTGGACTCAAATAACCGAATCCAAGCTGTGTGAGTAGTACTATATATGTATATTTTCGGTGCAGTGTTGCAACTGTTCCTAATTTTAATTAATATTGGGTCAATTTTCCAAAGCCGCACAGTACTCAATTACTCTTATTTACAACATTTTCAGCCGTTTTCAAATATATTTCAGACAGTCCCTCTAATCATGCAATTAAGTGACAGCTATTCAGCATTATTCTTAATTATGCAAGATGCATTATAAAAATCGAAATCAAATACACGAACCAATGAATTACAATTCCAGGACAATCGGGAAAAACATGATTGAAGGATGATCCTACATTATGCTCCGGTATTTATTGCTTCTAACGTGTTTTGAATCATAATCAAAGATAGATGTTAAAGCCACACTGTCCTACTTGTAGCTACTTGCTCTCTCTATATAGAAACAAATGCCTAATCGGTGACCATTGGTCCCCCATAATCCTCTTCTTGAGAGCTGAGTTGATGAGATAACCACCTGTGCAGTGACCTTATAATCCCTAATATAAACTAGTACAGATAAGCTTTAAGAGTATTACTTGTAAGAGGGTATCAGGTTAGGTTGAGGGCTAGGTTTAGAGTAGGGTATAGTGTTTGGTGCAGGATTAAAGTTAGGTACTCAATTAATCCAGGGAATTGGCAACGGAACAACTGCCGCAGGAGTCTGTGTCGCAATACCGAATGAAGCCCGCGTGTTGGACAAACGTAGAGGGCGTCTCACGAATGCAGCTGTGTTCCATCATCGCGTCAGCGCTCAGCGTCAACTACGTTTCCATGGCCAGGTTTCTTTCACCGGCGATATATGGCGATTCCGCACGGCTTGAGTGAATGGGTTTAGTTTTGTGGAGGTTGTTGCCCTCTTCTAGAGTTTCAGGTAGCGGGCGGTCGAGAGTTTCAGGAAGGAACAAAGCGATGCCTCCGCAAAAGAAGGATGAAATGCCGAAGATAAGAAGTGGACCAGGTTCGTAGATCCTGTTCTATAAGAGGGATAGGAGGGGAGTGTAAATTTGCAACGAAACGCCAGTTTTACATTTAAAAAAAAAACTTGTTTAATAACGGCACGATCGCACAAGCTTTCAAGAAATCGACCTTAGGCAAGTTCCAAAAACTTCGCTTACTACTTTTTTTAAATGTGGGAATATCACAATGACGCCTCATATAATCTTAACGAGATTAATATAGATACTTCGAAAGAGAACCGAGATGTGACGTCGTACTGGTCAAGCTGGTTCCAAACAATTGCATGCGAAACAGAAATGTGGTGATCGCATCAGCTAGGCCCTAACACTGAATTTTCCCTGCTCAAGGCCCGTTGTTTGAATGATTTCGCGGTGAATATCATTCGCAGGCTCTCTTTTTTTAAAACAGTAGCCTGGGAAGCAAGCGAATAAAACGACAGCACTTCGGCTCTCTGTAGGGTATTTAAATTGCTTAAGTTTGATTTCCTTAATTTTTTTTTTTTGCGATCGTGTGTAAAGAACAAATCCCATTGCATTATGTTTGCAAGTTCCAAGGAAAGGATTTTTCTCTCGTTTTTGTAGTTGAATGGTTGGTTAACCTTAGTATAATTTTAATTCAAATGCATAATTCATCCAGGAAAATATAACCACATAAACGACGTGGTTAAACTTCCTATTTAGAAGGGGATAGAACCCTCTAAGTATTTTGTTTATTAGTTTCCTTTTTCAAACGTAATGCTCGTACAACTACGTCTAAGACTTAGTTGTTCAGTTCAGATTATAACTTCTACTAAAGATGATATAAGAGAGAGGACAAAATAGACGAATAAATTGTGTACAATGAATTAAGGGTTCTTGGTCGAGTGGATAAGGCATCGGGCTGTGTATTTCATGGTTCAAGCCCTACCGCAGCATCAATGTCCTTTGGCCTTTGGCAAAATATTAATCTACTATCAAATGGAACACTTGACTTTCAGTGGCTTAGGGTCGCTGGGCTACAGCCAGTGTTAAACAGTAGGATGGATATGTGAGAGAGTATGAATGTAGTTATATTTGGTTCTTACTAGATAAATAACAAAGGGAGCCATGACACCGCCGACACGGGACCAAAATGAGCATAGACCAAATCCAACGTTTCTGGTGAATAAAGAAAACAAGATGGAGTTTAATAACAAAACAGTATACATACATAAATCATCCATATCACGAGTCGTGGTCAAGTGGATAAGTCGTCGGACTGAGGATCAAATGGCTCGGGGATCGAGGCCTACCATGGCACTTATGTCCTCTGGCAAGACATTAATCTACATTTCCCACTCTCGAAGAAGGTGTTAAATTTGGACCGATGGGAAGGAATTCCATCAATGATGTGAGCACTGAAATTGGTATAGCCTAACAGAGCAGGGATATTATTGGAGCACAATGCACGGTGGATTGCCACAACCAATTTTGTTATTGATATCATTGGTATGTCGAACAATTGATTAACATGTTATTCATTTATTTATTCAATTTTTATTAAAATGTATTTGTATCTAATTTTTTTTTTATATTCCTTTTGCTCGAGGGGCCTGTTAGTCAAGTTGGTCATATATTTTATTCTTTGCAGTTTGGCTCCATGTACCCAAATTTTGTAAACTTTATTCAACAGGCCTATTGGGTAAATATTACCTAACTTTTCTTAGAGAGCAATTAAGTTAGTACCAACAACAACAACAACGACAACAACAAATTCATCATTTAACCACCTACCTGATCGACGTGGGGAAGATCTCGGTTCCGTATACGAAGACGGTGCCGAAACTGCAGGTGATGCCGAGCTTCCCGATCATGGCGAAACTAACGATGACGGGCTGCAAGTTCGTACCATCGGCTGTAATTAAATACAAATCATCAGTCAATAACTCTGGCAAAACAAATGACATTTTGAGAATAACAGTACCAATGTGTACAAATTAATAAGAATAAAAAATATACAAAGCGAACAACTGTGACATAGTAGATTAAGAACAAAAAGTCGTCAACAATTAATAATGAGATTGAGATTTAATATAAGGAAACTAATTGAAACAGGATGGGAAAACAACACACATTATATTAGTGGGTAGGAAGTCAACAGGAAAGCAATAGATTAGTCTTTAACACACAAAAGGGTGTTGTGTTATGTGGGCAAAATGTTCTATAAAGAGAACTGTTAAACGTTCTTTTTCGTATAACAGTTCTTTTCAGAAATCTTGCTTAATAACAAATCATGCACCAGTCCTTGGACTATTTTTTGGTGCTACCGTCACCCCCTTTCTTTATATGTCCAGGGGAGAGTTTCGCAAAGACTAAGATCGACTTTAAGTTGGGCTATGGCAGGCCATTCGTTGCTCTCACCATTATGATCTTTAGATAATATTTTTTCCTTCAATAATTAACTATCCACAAATGTAAATTCTGTAGATTTGTAAATCCCTTGAGAGACCAATGCCAATAAATAGTGAAAGAAAACAGTGGCATGAATGACCTGCCATAGTTAAGTCCAACTTAAACTCGATCTTAGTCTTCGTGAAACACTTCCTAAGTATTCCACCGTACAAACCTACAAAACGTATCTGACATCAAGTCTTTATGCTTACCTGATGTTTCCGGAACATAAGCTGTGATGATACAAGCGACAGCAGCTACAAAGTTAGACACGACTAATGTCGGTCGCCTTCCCCATCTACAACAAGGTGAAAATTATCATTATACAATTATTAAAAAACGTTAGCCTTGATAACGGCTAGCAGGAAAACGAAAGATTCACATTACAGTAGAGGAAAATCCGAAAAAGGGTGAAACTTATAAGGCTTCTAATCTTTCAGGGGATATTTTCCCTATGCTGTTCCTACACACTATGTTGATGTGTAGGGAAAAAATAACCATCAGATCGATTTAAATCAAATCACTAACATGAAAAGAATGGAACAAAGTGCATAAATAGTTTTCTTTTATCTTTCCCAGAACTCATCCTTCTCTTTGTTTAAAGATATAGACCAGTTCTGGTCATGCGATTGCATTGTGAAAGAAACTTTGGGGAATCGATCAGTAAAGGTTGATCATCTAGCATATAAGTATTGGTGTGAACTGCAAGGTTCTGAAATCATCAAAATGATAAGAGATTTAGCCCAGTCTTGGTAAAGTTACAAGCACTGTGCACAAAAAGATGTATATGGGACTACGCGATAAATATTTATATCTATTCGGACTGGATAGATATAATAATTTACCAAATATATCAATTAGTAGGCGGTTTCCCGGCAAATTTGTATCATCACGTATGAGTCAAAACATATTCTTTCACATGATTGGTAATAAGAGCTTCCATTTCGATTTTTTTAGAGGGGGCGTTTCAAAAACTGGTCTATACCTTTAATGAACTTACTTGACCAGTGTATACATAATGAGAGTGTATGCCGGTATCTCGACAAGGCCGAGAAGGAAAAAATTGAGGTATTTATCACCGGCAAGCTCACTGCTGTTCAGAGACAATCCGTAGTACACCAGGCTACACATCAACCTGTTTAGAGGGAAGGGGGGGGGGGGGGGGGGGGAGGAGGGGGTAAAGGAAGAGAGAATGAGGAAGAAAGGTTAGAAATAGAAAGGTTAAAAATTTCGGGGTAGAGAAAGAACACCTTTATCAATCGATGCCTAAAAGATGTGACATTGATGGTAGTGCTAAAAAATTGAACTAATTTTTTGATTGATGGATATCTCTTATATCAAGACAAAAAAAGAGTGAACTCTATGTTTTTGGCGAGCGCGAATTCCTCGCCATCTTCAAGATTTCTAAAGAATTATTATCACATAATTATCCCCAAAGGTTTTTTTTAACACAGTTCTTATTCTGAAACATTCGAGCTGAAGTCATAAATTACGAGAACCCACCCCACCCCCTCCCGAAAAAACAACAACACTAGAACCAGCAAATGTGAGAAATAGTAAGATTTACCATTGACAGAACATATTGACTGAGTTTAAAAACAGCCTTTTCTTTCTGAACAGGCCGAACACTGTGGTCAGCGACGATGTCGACGTCGACTTCCTCACGTGATTAACCGCCATATCGGCCTCGCCTTTCTCCGATTCGCCATTCGACATCCCTTCCGTCGACTTCTTCTTGTACGTTTCCTTTTTCATGGCGAAGTCATCGTCCGAATTGGTCAAGACCGGGACATGACCGAGGTTGTTGAATTCCGCTATTTTCTCGACGACTTTTTGCGCATCGCTGGTACGACCCCGGGAAAGAAGCCACCGTACCGACTCGTGGATTAACCTACACAAAATGAAGTGGAATAAATGAATTAGTATGGAATCGGTGAAACGTTGATATGTTTTCTTTCTCCTTCACCTTAGTGTACATTATTGTTGTCGGTTTTGTGAGAATTGTGTTTAATTAACGCTCAATTTGTTTGTCAGAAGGCTCAAGCGACGGATAAGGTTTATGATTCCTAAAATTACATAGGGTATTTTATGAATTATATGTTGCATTGCTCCAAAGATTTGTTATTTCAAGGATTCGTTATACTGACGATTTGTTTTTTAATCAGAATACCATTGCTTCAAAAGTGAAATGAATTTCATTTTCCGAAGGTTCGTAATTCGGTAAAATTCCCTATAAATAAGATACGATGCTACTTCATTTCCTAGATTTTATATTAATTTACTCAATTTCGAATCTTCGGAGTGAGGAGCCTTCGGATTTATGAACATTCGGAAAATCGAATCTATCTAAACATTGAAACTGTGGAAAAACATGATAATTCGGATTATGAACTCTCGGATCAATTAACCTTCGGAATTATGTACCTTCGGAAAAAAAAAACGGCATGTAAAAATGGTAGATACCACAGTTCCCACACCCCCCCCCCCCCCTCCTCTCGGAATTATGAACGTTTCCAAAAACTGACATGTATAAACTGAATAAAATAGTTTCCATAATAAAATCTGTAAACATGTTGTTGCCTTGTATTTCTGTTTATACACCCTCCCTCCATTAGTCTGCTTTTTTATTTATTTTTTATTTTTTTATAAATTTTTGTTTTTGTTCCCTTTTTTCCTCCACTTTTATCGAATCTTGTAAATATGTATTTCTCATGATTGTTTTTAAAGAATATACAAATTAAAAAAAAAAAAATAAATAAATAAATAAAATAAAATAATGGACCTTACCAGTAATAGAATATTGCCAAGAAGCATGGTATGGAGATGGCAATCTGCATCCAGCGCCAGTCTTTTAGGAGCCACGCGATAGGAGCGAGGAGGGTGACGCCTAACCCCCATGAAATATTGTTGATGCACGCTGCCAGTGTGCGCTTCTTGGGTGTGAACATCTCCACGACGAGCACGTACTCGACGATGTTGATACCCTGATCAAGAAAGAGCGGAGAATGTCAATAAACTCTCTGTATCTACTAATTCTTTTTTAATTTAATTTTTTAAATATTTTTTAAATATTTGTTTTAAATATTTTTTATCAGTGCTTCATGAACTATTTTTTGGGAATTGTCGTAGTATGTGGAGATGTCGTGATACGTGGTTCATTTACTTGACTCTCAATTCAACGTTGACGGTTCGAATCCTAGCCCGGGATTAACGTCAGTTAGCAAGACATTAATCCACGTTTGCCACTCTCCACCCAGGTGTAAATGGATACCTGGCTTTTGATGGGGGTAATAATAATTACGGGGCTCTCATGAAGAACAGCGTTGATGATGAAGAGGCTTCCCTTGGTAAACAAAATTATCATTATTATTATTATTGGATCACTTGAGAAGCTGAGCTGATTTATTTGCCGAATGAGAGAAGAGTAGGGACTTAATGGCCGGCTGTACTAGTTCAGCCAGAAAGGATTAGACCAACCAGCTAGCCAGCGAGGTCAATATGGCAGGTGGCTATCTCATTAACTCAGCTCTCAATTAACATAAGAAAAAGAGGATCATGGGGGACCAACAGGCATCGATTGGGGAAGTTTTCTATATAGAGGGAGCTACAAGTAGTGCAGTGTGGCTTTAACTAAACAAGAAACGCCTTTCTCTGATGGGAAACTGACGAGTGCGCATCACCCAATTTCGAAGTACGGGAGGGGCAAACAGAATTGAAATACCCGCTTATAAACAAGGAGTTGTACGTGGGTGAGTTAATAACAAAAACATTTAAATTTTTGTTAAGCACCCCCCCCCCCCCTCCCCAAACTTGTCATTAGATATCTTTGAATTTGGTCGATAAATAGCAAAATACCACTTAGATCTCCTGCTGTGAGTTTTTTTTTATATTCTGAAGTGGAATATAAAAGACGTGAAGGGTCAAAATTACTTCATGAACCTTGCCTGACATATACAAAATGTAATTCTAAAAATAGCTCTCTAAAAAAAGAGAGTGAACTTTCATTCTTTTTTTCACTTTCTTGGGAGTGACGTCCGTGACCACTTGTTTAGGAGTGAATATCGATTGATTTTCGAGTGTTCTTTAAGAAGAAAAGAGTGAATGTTCACTCTATTTTCACTACATTTTCACTCTCCAGAGGAGTTACGTCAGTGATCACTCGATTTTTAAAAGATATATACTTACATTTTCAAACATACCCACAAGAAACCAGACGGAGACGAACGCGTAGTAGTTGTAGAGGAAAGCGACAACCAGTCCACATATTCCTTCCCCGATGAAGGACACGATCAAAACGGTTTTTCGTCCATATATGTCCGATAGCTGACCCGCACCGAACGCCCCCACCATCACCCCTGCAAAGTAAACGGATTGTGCCGTTGAGGGCCAGATGTCTCGATCGCATACGAGGTTCATCTGTAGAAGACATCCGAGCAGATTTGGTTTATATGAAAGAAAAAAAAATGAAATTAGAAGAAAAAGAAACTGCCAAGTATTGGAGAATTGACCTTGAAAATATAGAGAATTATTTTGGTAAGAATTGGATAGAAAAACTAGAAACATCAGAATTACGAATCGAATATCGAAATGAATCGCGGAACGGCCGAAAAAGGCTACTGGTTAGAATACTCCACAGGGAGTGAAGAGTGTTCTCTCTAAAGTGCATAATCACAAGAAAATCCAGTGAACGGGGTAATAATATTGTAAGCACTTGGTTCGGTTAATGGTAAATGGCTTTGTATATAAAAAAAAACGCGTATTATTTATATATAATCATCGTCGTTTTTAATATCATTATTATTATTAATAATAATATTAATATTGTTGTTGTTATTATTACTTGTTATCATCATCATCATTATCATCATCAATATTATTATTGTTGTTGTTGTTGTTACTATTACTTTTATCATCATCATCATCATCATCATTTTTATCATTTACGAACTGATACCTCGATAACTGCAGTTGACTCCTCGGGGTAGATGGTGTAATATTCCCATCCATTCTGACATCCAACTATTTTTGTCTGATCCGTTATCATCTCCCCTTCTTTGACGTCATACATCAGACAGTTCTCGTAGCTCTCGACGCCGAATCTGACAGCGCCATCATCGGTCTCGTTCTGCAGCACAAGCGACTGATTGGGAAAGGTGTTCGGTGCAGGGTTGCAGTGGTAGTATTCCGGCGTGGCCAAGGTAAAAGCCTGGCCAGGGGTTTCCGGCAAGAAAGTACAGAGACAGAGACCAACTTAAGAATGAACATACTGTTAATGATATGTACAATGAACAGAATTTGTCACTGAATGCTACAAAACTTGAGTTGAGAGACATCAGCCTCCCGAATATAACTGAAAAAATAGTTTCATTCATGTCAGTTTATTAGTTTTACTAGCTACTAGTATACACACGGCCGAAAAAGATTTTTTGACCAAAGCAATCCGAGGAGGTTTGAATAGCCATGCCGATCTTTTACTGAGACATGCAAAGATAATGATGACATGATGGAGTCAGATACTAAAATGTACCTTGCAGTTTTCGACAGTTCTTCCATTCCAATTATTTACTTGTTATGAGTATCATCAACTGCAGCAGCTAGCTAGAGGGATAACTTGTCCAAAGTATGAAAAATCTTTAAAATGTTGTACTCGACAGGTATTCCTGTTGGGTTACCTTCTTTTGATTTTATCCTTTTTGGAGGGGGCGGGGGCGCTTGTAAGATTTTTCAAAAGATATATGCGTTGAACGATTTGATAACCTGTTTCCGTTTTTCTTTTTCTTTTGTGTTTGCCACGGGTTATTCAAGAAATGTACCTGTTTTTTATCCAGAATACAGGATTCTTCCCTCATCACCACCAACATCAACGCCACCACAACATCGAATAACACAATCAACACCACTACCATCATACCCCCCCATTACCATAACCAGCACCACCGTACCACATCACCACCACCATCTCTACCACCACCATCACCCTATCACTACCACCACAATCCCCATTATCATCACCATCTCTTTCATCACTATTACTACAACCAACACCACCATCACCACCAACAAGACTCCACCACAATAATCACCAGCACCCCCATTAACCACCAGCCTCGGCATCACTACCACCACCACTACCACCATGACAGTCACCACCATTACTATCACCAACACCACGACGAGGACCACCACATCACCCATCATTGTCACAATCACTACCTATACCATTACCAACACTACCACTATCACCACCACATCGTCACCAACAGTATCACCGTCACCACTATCACCACCACCATCACTACCAACACCATCAGCACCCCCACCATCACTACTACCACCACCATCACAACCACCACCACCACTACCACCACCACCACCACCACCACTACCACCGCCACCGTTTACTGCTTACCCCTGAGAATATCTGCCAGGCAGGGAACCACGTCCCTGATACAGTGATGAGGATGAAAGCCAGAGTCTGGTATTTACCCCAGTCTTTAAGCTCGTGCAAAACATCATCCAACTCCATCCTGATACTCTAAATCGCCAAAACAGCGTCGTCTCTGGAAAAAAATGAATAGTGATAAAGGAGTGTGAAAGGCTGAAAGGTACACTTGAGTTTTGGCTATGCGGTGGTATTGTACATTAAAGTGTCTGGAGGTGCTCAGTTTGTAGAGCAGTGGTTTCGTAATCCGGCGACCCGGGTTCGAAATCAAAGCGATACGCTAGTGCCCTTTGCATTAATCCTCATTACCAGGTCTCTCAGAGAGGAACTAAAGCCGTCGGCCGTCTGGTTGCTTACTAACAAGCATTTATCATGCTTTCTTAGCAGTCAGGTAAAATAAACACCACTGCTACTACAACTGGATTCAGGTGGAAAGGATTTTTTTAAAACCACAGACATAACAAAATGATAGGGGTATATCGTGAGGTTTTGGTATCATTAATCTGATATGAATCATATTTAAAGCTAGAATTACATGGTACCCCAAAAGAGCCCCTTTTTACATAGGACAAGTGCCCCTTTTCTTTTCTAATAACTGTCCTTTTCCTCTATTTTCATCTCTGATGAGTACCTCCTTTTTCCTTCGTATTAAGAACCCCTTCCCATTCTTTTAAATGCCACTTTTCTCCTCTGTTAAGTGTCCCCTTATTTGACAGGTACTCCTTTTTAATTCCGTTCTAATAAGTACCATTTTCCTTCGGATAAATGCCCCTTTTCCTTTTTATATGAGCCCCTCCCACTTTTCAAAGTGCCCCTTTTTACATCTTATAAATGCCCCTATTTAAATCTGATAGGTGCCCATTTACATTCTCGCAAGTGACTTTTCTCTGTTGAGTGTCTCCATTGCCCTTTTTATTTCGGCACGAGCACCTTTTCTTTTCTAACTGTCCTTTTCCATGTTGATAAGTGCCTACTTTTCCTTTCTCCATAACATGCGACCCTAATTCAATGAGACTTAGAGCCCCCTTTTCAATAATTGTCCCTAAACTTCGCTCGCTACGCTCGCTCGCATGTGTAGATGCTCAAAAACAAAAACAAACTTATAAAAGAACTTTCAGTCTTTCTTCGTTAGATTTGGTTTGTTTTTTGTTTTCTTTATAAGATGTAATTTTTCGCACTGGGATCTCACAAACTTAAAATCTGACACACGCACTTAGATCGAGGGACCTGGCCGAGGCCAATGATATTGTTTATACTTTTTCTCGATTTTGGCGGGAAGTAGTTGTGCGATGACTCGAAATAAGCCAGTTTACGGTTGCAGTCTGAGCATGAGCAGATAAAGGTCATTTGTACCAAAAAGGTAAAACCCACAGAGATGAATACTGGATATGCGCTCATGAAAGTTATGTAACATTATTCATTTATGCACCAACGGTACATTCTAAGATACGCAGGTGGAAGTATTCTTTTCAAGAGGGCAAACAAAAGGTATTCACGTGTTGTGGACGAGTGGATAAGTCGCCGGACTGTGGATCACAAGGTCCGTGGTTCAAGTCCCGCCGCAGCACGTCCTTTGGCAAGACATTGATCTACATTTGCCACTCTCCACCCAGGTGTTAAATGGGTACCCGGTAGGATGCGAAAGCTAATGTGGTTAGATTAGCAAGTGTGCGCATGTAAAAATGATGCCTGGCTGGAATACTCCCCAGGGAGTGGAGAATGTGCATACATTGTGTGCGGGTAAGCCTGAATCCAATGACCGGGATAATAATATACTTATCTGTAAAGCGCTTTGTGAGGGCCTCCGGTCCTGAAAAGCGCTATATAAGAACGAGCTTATTATTATTATTATTATTATCTTGGACTTTGGCAGTTATTATTCTAAGATGCTCAAAGTGGAACTTCACCATGTGTAAAAGATCTGTGGATATTTGGGGTCATTTGTACCATGAGCTATCTGTAAACTCCCTTATTATGATGAATCAATCTGTTTGACCTATGCTGAACCCGCCTCGGTTTAAAGGAAATGCGGGTGTCTGCGAATGATTATTTTATGAAATAAATTTTGTTACAAAATGATTTGTATCTAATTCATTTGTTAATATTTTTTTTTACCGAATTCCTTTTGTTACAAAACTCGTACCGAATTAAATTGTGTTACAAAGCGATTTGTACCGAATTAATTTTGTTACAAAATGAGTTTTACCGCATTTTCATTTTGTTACAAAATGATTTGTACCGAATTCTTTTTGTTACAAAATACGTACCGAATTCTTTTTGTTCCAAAATACGTACCGAATTCATTTTGTTACAAAGCACCTTGAGAAACCAAGCGTTATCCTGGCTTTTCGTTTAAAAATCACCTCATTTTGTCACAGAATACACCCAAAACTGAACTTTGTAAACCGGGTTTGTAACAAAATGAGGTGATTTTATACCGAAAAACTAGGGTAACACTTGGCGCCCCATAGTAACCAGCTGGCAGTACACACATGCACAGCGCGCGGTCGATCGCTAGCTTTCAAATATCACCATTGCTGGTCAAAATGAAGTGTTGCATGCATGTAGTATGTGCTCCGCGGCAGTCAAATTTGACGGCTTTTTCCCTCTGTTCTTGGGTAAAATTTCGAGAATGTGCCGAGAGATGGAAACGTCTATCTAGCGGTTATTCAGATAAGGCTAAGAAGGTTTGGTCAGCTCTTGATTTAGCTGAAAACCAGACTCTGAACAAATTTAATGACATCAAGTTTCGATATGGATACCACCGCAAGTGCTACCAGCGATTCACCGATGTTTCGTTGCTGACAGCAGCCGAAAGATTGCTACAACAGCAGCAAGCCTCTAGTTCTACTTCTGCCCAATCTCTCCAAAGTTCCAGTCGAGATGAAGAAGAAGGTTAGTAACGAGATGGATATGTATTTTCAGTTTGATAGGTATAGAATTGATCTCGAAAACTAAATTCGGGCGCAGGCTCGGAGCTCGGCCTCTACTACTAACTCCAGGGAGCTCCGCCGCCCAAAACGCAGGCGGCGTAGCTCCCTGGAGTTAGGCCTCTTCCAACTGGTAGTGCGTTGCAGTGCAGTGCAGTGGCGCGGCACGGCATCTCAATTTCCTGTTAACAATAATGTAAAGTATTACTACTATTTAGGGCTTATTCATGAAGGCCTTTGACCGTTCAACTTCTGGAATATATGACTGTAATTTATGTTAAAACTTGAAGAAGTTTAAATCAGGGCAAAGGCTTTTTTATGGTGAAGTTGAACTAATCAGTAATCACTAAATCTACAAGTGATCTAGTACATGTAAATGACCATCATGTTGTACATAAACAAAGTGTATAGGGCAGCTACATGTTAAAATCAAGTGATGATATACATCTTGTGTGTGCATGTTTTGTGCTACTTGTTATTTTTTACAGACGTGTATCAATCAGATGACATAATGAGATATCTTTATTTACTTCTGACGTCTGGGGACCGGCTTTTAAATAATTTAATGTCACCATCAAAAGACAAGATTCAGTCTAACCAGGCTCTGCTGAGTCCGTTTGCGAATTTGCTATTAATTTTGCGTCTTTTGATTATTGGATTCAAACAGTGCACCTTACGATAAATAGGCATGACTGCTAAAAGTGACATCGCGTGCACGAAGACAATAAAACAAATCTTACACATCAAGGCAAGGAAGAGCAGGTTAAACTTTAAAGTGCTCTCGATATCTGATAGAGAATGATCAACACAATTTGTTTGTCTGATTTAAATGAAATGTTTCAGTAAAACTACAACAACTGTGACTGCACACAGATTTTCATTTGAAATAAATGATTTGATATTACTTTGAAAAATATTAGCCGGGCATTTACATGTATGTTTGGGAATTTAACTCTTAATTTTGTTTTCCCTTTATTTTTTCCCATATAATTCATAGGTGACCAACAAGAGGCCACAGAAGAACCATCAGCAAAGCGTCTCCAGGTGCCGGAGTTACCAAGGGAATGCTGCCTATGCCGCTCAAACCGATATTGCCGGGAAAGGCTTTCAGGCAAGAGGATGAGAGAGAGACTTGTCGCCTGTCAGAAGCTAGAAACCAGCAGTTTATTAAAGAAGGCAGCAAAGATGACTGGTAATTATTTTGTTCTGACAAATTTCTTGATTTACTAAAAACTTAAAAGTGATTCTAAATTTCTAATAGTACGTCCCTGTAATTTTTCTAATGGTAAGAAAAGTTAGATGACTGTAAACAAATTTGGTACCACATTAGATAGTTCATAAGTAATTTTCTTTAAGATTTGACTGTTTTTGCATATGATTTGTACAATTTCTACACTTTCCGAGTTCTCTGTCTATATTTGTACCATTGATTATAAGTTCACCTTTGTAAAAGAGATTTGAAATAAAATCTGTCGCCTTGACTTTTTCCAATACAGTTTGGAATAAAATCAAAGTGAGACATCATTAACAGCTTTTGAAAGATATTGATTTTTATCCATGAACTTAATTCTTATACAGTAGGTTTGCGGGCGCACCATGTGAGAGAGAGAGAGAGGGTTGAGGAGTCCTGAAAAGGGCTCTGACTCGGTAAGCTTTCTTGGGGGAGTGTAGTCCTGAAAAGGACTGTTTGACCCTCTCTCTCTTCTTCTTCTTCTTCTTCCTTTTGAGTACAGACCTCTTTACAGAGTATTATTGTACTATACTGGGGGTGTGTGCAGGTGGACCACTACACCGGGGTTTCCCCCTACTCTTATACAAATAGTGCAGTGGGTTCTTAACATGCAAAGGTAGTGACTCTTCTCTACACGGGGCCTCCATTTAACGTCCTATCCGAGGACGGAGTGTTTTCCACTTGACATAACCTGTGTCTATGAACAAGGGAAGGGGCACGTTAACACACAACGCAGGCTTCAGTCATCCGCTTGGGTGGGAGTCAGACGCGGGATCTTTGGTTCGACAGACGGATGCTTTACCGACTGAGCCAACTCGCCTCTCTCACATGGTGCACCCGCAAACCTACTGTATATCTACATCACCATGCAAGCCGACACTTACAAGCAGCATCTAACTTAATTCTTATTTTTATCCATGAACTTAATTTTCTTTTATTTTCCGTTCCATCCCCCTCCCTCTTTTCCTTTCACCGTTTTCTCGTTCAAACTCTAGGTAATCAAGCATTATTTCTCCAGATCCAGGGCAAGGACTTAGTTGCATCTGAGGCCCACTACCATGCCACTTGTTACAGGGAAGCAACTAGAATCTTCAGAAAAAGACCCAGAGAGGAAGAGAACCCAGAAGAAGCTGCATATCTCATTAGTTATGAAGTATTTTGTAGAGATGTTATTGATGGGAGGATAATTGACAAGAAAGAAATCCTTAGAATGACAACATTATCAGTGATGTTTGTTCAGTGTGTACAGAAAAATCAGGGATTAGATGCTTCTTCCTACAGACCAGACACTCTAAAGAAGAGGTTGCGAAAGTCATACCCTCAACTGCAGTTTGTCAAAGCGTATCTCAGCCTGGAGAGTGAGCTGGTGATGGTTCACACCATTCCAGTACCGGATATCAAAGACTCTTTAAAAGTGCAAGAGATATTCACCTCAAGTGACAGTGAAGATATGAGCACCAATGATGAGAGAAATTTGAGCGCAACTCCAGCGACACATAAATTAGGGGATATGTATTCCACAGCTCGCAGCCTGAGGGAGGAGTGCATGGCTGTTGATGCATCCCAAACATGGCCACCAACCGGAAGGGATTTGTCTCTAAATGTTGCTAGGGACAAAGTACCAGTTAGGATATATAACTTCATAGCATGGATGATCGGAGCCTCAAATGAGCCAGTTGAGGACAGGCGAGTTATTGTACCAGACTACTTTGACAGAAGGATCCTGTCCTTGGCACAAGATATCATCTGTGCTACAAAACAAGTAAAGAAGCACCTACCATAACAGTCAGAGTCTGCCCTGGCGATGACAGTACGTCACACCACTGGCTCTGCAAAAATCGTCAATCTACTCTATGGCTATAGACACACAACATCACACAGGTCGGTCCTAGAACATGACACAGCTCTAGCTGAGAGCGAGATTAAAGCATATCTGCACTAATTTGGCCAGGAGGGATTAGACCTCCCTGCGTGGTCACTGACAGGTGGTTATCCAAATCAGCATTCAATTAACGTAAGAAAAGGGGGACCATAGGGGACCAACGGGTACCGCGTAGGCATTGTTTGCTAAATAGAGGGCGCAAGTAGCTACAAGTAGTGCCGTCCCACTTTAAGAAATCATCCATTGTTCCACGTAACATTCATAAGATGAAATTCACTTTGTTGAGTGGGATAACGTTGACTTTGGCGAAGATACGCGGAACAAACGGCATCATCGTGCAGAAGTCAGTTTACGACAATGCCGACGTTCGCCCTCGACCTACAGGTACACGAACTATGGAGAAGACAAGGTAGCGATCCTTGCAACTCCCATTCCCTAACCTAGCAACAAATTATGGAGGACAGAGAGGGGGGGGGGGGAGTGTCATCATTTGGTGATAATCTGGGAATCCAGGATTACCAAAGAGTGTAGAGTAATTGAAATATGCTAAGAAGTAAATACAGTAAAACCTGCTTTAGTGACCACCTGTCTTTAAAGACCACATTTGTTGTTTCCCTTGAAAATAGCTTCTCATTGAAACATGTACTAAAGGAACCTGTCTACAAAGACCACTTGTTGTGTTTCCCTTGGGCGGTCGCTATAAACAGGTTTGACTGTATCATGTTGTGTTGTTTAGTAAATGATATCAAGCATTTCATTTTTACAATCGAGGGTTTTGTTTTCATGTGCAAATTATCGTATTGTGACATAAACAAATTCCCTCTTTGTTATAATTGGAACTGCAACCAATTATTTGTGTGTACATATAGATTTATATGGACATGATCTCGATACCCATATTTTGTTCATATTGACGATGTTTCATAATGTATGTACAATAATATGTACGTAATGTAATAAATATTTGTTTACATGAACCAATGAATCTTTATTTATTTCCAGTGATGCAATCACTATAGATGTGGAAAGTGTAAACAAGCTGGTGTGATTAAAACAAAATATAGTAATTGCATTTTAGTGATTCTCAGTTAGAACAAGTCTGGATCAAGCAAATACAGAGATATGTTTTTGAAGGTGTATGTTTGTGCAAGAATGGGTGCATGTGTACCTTTTATTAATGAAAATGGCAATCCTACCCTTGTAAGAATTTCTTTTGTATGAAAGCAGAAAAATATAGGAGAAACAAAATAATGACAGTTTGAAGTGGATTGGACCAATAATAAGATTCTGATTCCATTCAATTTTTCACCATTTTTTCTTCTATGTTTTGTCTGCTTTTCCTTTAATGTGGACTTGGCTAACCCTTACAAAATTATACATGGGAGCTTCAAATGAAGTGGTCAATCATAGGATTTATAAGGTACTTGTTGAAGTGTGGGCGTTGCCGGGAGGGGGCCTAGGGTAATTTTTATCTTGTGGGAGACAAATGAAAATAAATTGGGGTAAGCACTTTTTTAAAGCTCAACAGGAGGGGGGGGGGGGGTGTTCACTCACTTTATTCCCTCTTCATCCACCCCTTACAACCAGAAAGGGGGGGGGGCTGGCATAGATAAAGGGTGTCTTTAAAATTCGGAAACACCCCTCTTTTGCCAGGGGAGGGGGGTGGGGTGAACACCTAAAACACCACCCCCCCCCCCCCCTCGATACGCCAATGACAATTACACATTCATTCATTACATTACGCACATTTATTTTGTGGGGCCTTGAACAGGGATAATGACGTCATAAAACAAAACTAGGACGTTTTCAGTGTCTCGTCCCACGGCCTGAAAAACAGAAAACGCGAAACTCTGCAAAATTGCACATGACCTTTTCCTTGGGGTTACAAGAAGTCGGGGACAACTTGATGGCACCTAACCACGATTTATGTTCTCGGAACGGATCTGACATTTGCTGGTAGCTTTTATACGTAATACGTGACGTAAATAATCATGGTATAATAATAAGTCATTGGTGAGGAAAAATAACTTTTTGTAGATATCAAAGAAGACAAGTCAAAAGTTCAAAAGACAAGGATAGTAAAACCATAATCCACATTGACCCGGCTCATATACCGAAACAAATTGTATTAGAATAAAATGAAATCTAAATATTTAGCGAACCCACACAAAATAGCGGTTAAGGGCAGCAAACTAAGAATGTGGGAGTGTAATTATGCGCCTCAGCGGACTTAGAAATATGAAATCAATTAAAAGTGGGAGCCGCGTGTGATGGGGGGGGGGGGGGGGGGAGGGGGGAGGGGAGGGGGCGTAATTAGGTTGCGGGAAAGCTGTGTGACCGCCATGCTCCGAGGTCAATATCCCACGCTATTCATAATTCACATTGAGGGTCATTACTCGTAAGGACCGCTATTCATAATACGAAATCGGGGTCGCTTTTCATAAACATGAATAAGGGGCGCTAGTACAATTTATATTCGGGGTCACCACACATAAGGACCGCTATTTATAATACGAGAAGAGGGTCGCTATTCATGAATTCGTGAATTATGAATAGCGACCCTCTTCCACAGTATTTTAAATAGGGACCCCCTATGACAAATGACTCTGATTTTGTATTATGAATAGCGACCCTCTTCTTCCATTATGAACAGTGATCCTGACGAATAATGACCCTTTTCTCAAAATATGAATAGCGGTCCTAATGAATATTAGTCCTTACAAATGTCTGTCCTTATGAATAGCGAGCGGACCCTCCCCCCCCCCCTAGCATGTGTCTTGGACGAAATAAAAGGCCGAATAATCATTGCCGCTCGGCTATATTGTGGAGCATCTGAACGCTAAAGTCTAAACCGACGTTCCTCCAGAAACAAGCAAGAAGGGTGAGTTCTGGGGAGAGGTGAACACTAATTTGTGAACGTTATTATTGTTATGTCATAAGTCTGGAAGAACATTAGACAAAAAAAATGTTCCCTGAAAAGCTTGGCTCTCCAATTGCCTTCATATTCTAAATATGACAAGTAACAACTAAAAAATTAGGCCCAATTTGTATGTCTCATGTTTGTGTAGTCCCATATCTTTCTGTGTACAGTGCTTGTTACTTAATACCAAGACTGTGCCGAATATCTTATTTTTTTTGATGACTCCAGAACCTTGCAGTACACACTAATACTTCAATGCTACATGATCAACTTTTCTGAGCGATGCCACGTCGTTTCTTTCACGATTCAATCGCATGACCAGAACTCAACTTTATCTTTAAAGCTGCTCGACGGTTGTTTTCAGTATTTAATTGTGTATTAGGCCTATGTTTGCTTCTCATGTTTGCTGCCATTGATTTCTACCTTCAATTCAATGACAAAAATCTTATTGATATGGGACGCACGCAGTTGAGTGATGTCAGTACCCTTCTGACCGGAAGGATTTGAAGGTGCCTTTTGGGTAAATCATTAAAAAAAGACAAGGGGGGGGGGGCATTTCGGTGCGAACGGTCTCCCAATTTGGTTGTACATACTTTTCTGTATGTAACCTATGTCACATTTTTTTAGGCAGCATCGAAACAAATAACAATCAACCAGAAAAATGAAAAGGAAAGAGAAGTAGGATATTGTGAAATGCAAAGCAAAATTATCGTTAATTTATCTTTTCCTCCTAAGTACCTTCTAATTTTGGAGTTAAACTAAAAATGTATTATGGATAAATTATTGAATATATACAGGTCCTGTAGAAAGGAAAAAACAAACACCCCGGGTCACTCAAGTGACTCAAGTTTTCCGCCACTTCACCACAGAGACATTACCGATTCGGCCAATTTGAGAAGCCCATACCTTTATTTGATTGCAACTTAAAAATAACAAAAATCCTTACCTTATAATTTCTTGCCCGGTTTCATTTAAACTGTCGCCAGTATGCTTCCTTGATTTGTTTGCTTTCTTCTAGAGTACTTTGCTATCAAGTTTGAATTCCCTTCACCTTTATCTTATAGCCCGTTATTAAGGAACGATGTTATTAATCTATAACGCCCGAGTAGTATTTGTTTCGTGTAAACATTGACCTAGCTTGCATGCTATTCAGACGCAATGACGGATGATACAAAGAGGTACAATTTACGGGGAGCATGATGGAGACGATGGCTGAGGTATTTACCTATTTTGATGGATTGAAGTTCAAATTAACGAGCATGAAAGATTCCTGAGCATATAGCACGATACAGGGAATAAAGAATGAAAAACCTCATTTTCTTTCTTAAGCAAACAATATGACTATTACATCTTACAAACATGCACGACAGACTGGCAAATATCAGGGCGTATCTAGTTAATGGTCATTAAGTATGGGTGACATTGTATAATCTAATTTTCTATTTAGTTTAAACAAAGACATGTACAGACATGTTACATTCAAATAATAATCAATCACGACTGAACAAATTCAGCCTACTCTAAAGTAAACACATAATTATGTTAGGCACATGGGGAATACGAAAGACGAATAACCAGGGAAATGAAAGAGACGATTGGGGGGGGGGGGGAGAAAAGACAAGATGAAGAGTTGCTATATTTATTTTAAAAAAAGGAAAATTAAATTACATTACCACTTTTAATCGATTTTCAACATTAAACAAACAAAAACAAAAGAAAATACAAACCTACAAAAATACAGCACATAGGCCTAACTTCGATTGAGGGACCCCGCTGCGCGTAGTTTTCGCATTAACCATCAGATTACTCCCGCTTTAAAACTTCGAGTAACTTAAGTTTCCCAAACCACGAGAGAGTGCGTTCGCATATGGTCCTTATTATATCCTTTGCAGTTTTAAACCACGAGCTTGCTTTACACTTCCTGACACCTGTGTAACATTTTAAAATGTTATTACGGAAAATGTTCAGTGCCTCTTGGCTTTGAAAATTGTTGTTAGACGCCAATGCTTATCCATCCCTCAAAACCGGATTTTGGCTAAGGAAGTTAGTATGAGGTCCAAGTTTCCATTTGTAAACGTCATCTCAATCCCATGGTCGGGTTTGACTCAATTAGCAGGCGTATTCATTCAATACATGTACGTCATACTACTTATTTCAAATTGCTATACATAACATATATAGTACACAATTATATACACAACTCAATTATTTTGAATGAATCAATCTTATCGTAATAACCCCCTCCCCTCCCCAGGTAACTAAAACATTCCTCTGAAATAGGATTGAGCTCTTAAAACTATAAATGATTATAAAACATAGCTATACCAAGATAGTGATAAAGAAAATGCAGTCATTACTTGTTCGTATCAAATCACTTCAGAGATTCATAAATCGTATTATTTGAGAAAACATGTCAAATATGTCATAGGCCTTTTAAAAAACAATTAAAGGGGCATGTTCCCCGTATTTCAGAGGGCGTTAAAAATACGTACCCGCTGGCGGACGGTGCTAGCTGCCTATTGACACCAACAGAATACGGCCCTTACGCAAATGGCATGTTCCGAATGCCCGATCAGCTGGCTTGGCGAAGGCAGGCAAGGCCGCGCGTACTTTGATTGACAGATGTATGCAAATGAGAAGTCGATGACTAGAGCAGCGATAACTACACTGGCGGGAACGTGCCCCTTTAATGTTTGTAAAGGTCGAATGAGAATATTTCAAAATATCGTTGAAGGTCTAGAAAATAGGGCTACAATTTGCACCAATATACCAATCCGCATAATATTGGAATATGATATTATGGAATATAACCGCATCTCTTATACACAAACACTCACACGAACACACACGCACAAACACAACACATCCTGAGCACACCCCACATAGCTTACGTAACTTACTATTTCACAGTTGAAGTTCCTCGTCTGACGTTGTTGATGGTTTGGTGTTACTGGAATTGAATCAAATTAAAGCACGTTCCGATGCATACGTACGCTTCTCAGATCAATTAGAGAACAGAACCGTTGTGCGAAATCGACGTCGTTCGCCAATAACGATTAAGCAACAACCAGCAAAAGTGAAACATTCGGTTTTGATCAAAACAGTTGAGGATTTTAATTTTTATTCAGATGTTGATGTCACGATTTCGACATCAACTCACTTGTACCAGCACATCTGTTTTAATTCCATCAGTAAATTTAAAAGAAAATGAGATACGTCTCAGTGCGAATAACGACGTCATAATTACGTGACCAGAAACCAAGAAACAAAGAATAATTGCGGTATGAGAACCTTGCAAAATATCATTCCAAGTACATGATTATATCCATAAAGCAGGCATTCCAGACAACGAAGAATTAATACAAAACAGAATCAAACATTGGATGGCTTTGCGCGGCCCTGATTAACCAAAGCTCCGCCAAATAGTGAAAATGTCATGTTTTAATATCCAGGTCCGTAGGCCTAAATAGTAATCGTTGGAGCTTGAATTGCTTTTCTGCCTTTCTCCAAGTGAGTTCTGCGAAACTTTGAGGGGCAGGCGGTTTATTAGAGTTAAACGGGGGTAAATATTGGCTCGCCCCCAAGACGGGGAGTTAGGATTCATCATGCATGATGTCAGCAGGCATTGGTGATCAAAGGTTAACAGGCGAACAAACTCATACACAACCAACTGTCTTACATCTAATCAATCTCTCAAGATTCTGAAAGAAATGACGGGCAATTTCATGACCGTCTACTCATGCATTGCATATAGACAACCTTTTTGGATTGTCATGAAATATGTCAATGCTACTTTAATGATCACGCATTTAAAAAAAGGTGATACACAAGGCTATTAATGGAGGTGTAGATTGGCAAATACTGATTAACGCAATCCACGGCTTCTTTTGGACAACTGCATATACACGAATGGACTTAAAGATGAAGTTAAGTTCTGGTCATGCGATTGCATTGTGAAAGAAACGGTGTGGAATCGACCAGAAAAGGTTGATCATCTAGCATATAATAATTTGTGTGTATTGCAAGGTTCTGGAATCACCAAAATGATAATAAATTTGGCCAAGTCTTGGTAAAGTTACAAACACTGTACACAGAAAGATGTATATGGGACTACACGAACACGTGGCGTAAAAATCCTACCCCGGAGTTTTACGATGTTACATGACATATTTAAAATATGAAGGCATTTGAAGAGCCATGCTTTTCAGGGAACATGTCTTATCTGATGTTCTTCCACACTTGCATAATAAGAATGATAACGCTCACAAATTATTGTTCACCCAGAACTCAACCTTCTCTTTAATTAACGGTCAGCGCGCGCAAGCGTTCGTGAAACAGACCGAAGTTCTGCTCACGCTTCGGTTTCGCGTATGTTGCACGCAAGTGAATACTGTGGTCTCGTCGTCGGTATTATACCCGATTGGTCCCGAGTCAGGCCACGAGAAAGACACGTAGGTCTCGTCATGCTACACCCCCTTTAAAATTGCTTTTGATAGATTTTTCGGAAAGTCTTTGCGATCGTGTAATAGTATACTCATACTTAGCCTTCTTTACTAGTATTTGGGCAAATAGGTTTCATTTGGTCACAACATTTTGGTCACAACAGCGTATTTTCTTTTATTTTGAGCTTGTCCAATACAAAAGCGGTATTCGCCATATTTGCCCAATTCGCATCTGGTTGGCCAAACTCTCCTAAGAAGAAGAAGAAGAAGAAGAAGAAGAAGAAGAAGATGAAGAAGAAGAAGAAGAAGAAGGAGAAGAAGAAGGAGAAGAGGAAGAGGAGGAGGAGTAGGAGGAGGAGGAGGACGAAGAGGAAGAAGAAGAAGAAGAAATAATAATACTATTAAGAAGAAGATGAGGAAGAGGAGAAGAAGAAGAAGAAAAGACGAGGAAGAGGAGAAGAAGAAGAAGTTAGAAGAGAAGTAGAGAAAGAAGAAGAAGAAGAGTAGGAGGAGGACGAGGAGAAGAAAGAGAAGAGGCTAGAGGAGGAACAAGAAGGGTGGAGCCGCATACACCCCCAACCCTCAATCCCCGTTTGAAGGCTAACACAAAATACAACCTGCCATAAAATTATGTCAACTTTATCCAGGGCCTCCCAGATATAATCCGCCTCCTATTCGGGGAAGGATTCGCCCAATTTTGATGTATTCCTGGTTATTGCGCTGTAAAACCTCTTCCCCTCATAATCTATCGTCTGAGTATGTGACATTAATGACATTGATAATGAGTAGAGTTTAATCCTGAGTTTAGATTTCGCGACATCCCCGTTTACTCAAGAGAGCAATAACTTTTATGCTTGCTTCGACCTCATCCCTCGAGAGGGATTTTCCCCTTTTTTTCTTCTTAGAGGTTTTACTGTTCAAAAGCCTGCCATTCTTTAACCATGACTTTATATTACAAAATTGTGTGAACATAAGTTGTCGCAATTTGTTTTTCTTCTGATGATACCATAATATATTTCTATTTGGTGGATAGGAGCAATAAAGAAAAATATCTTGCTCAAGAAAAATAAGAGCCGTACCGGAGCTCGAATCCACGACCTATGTATTTCCAGTCGGGCGATTAATTCACTCGACTACAACACCTCTGAAATAAAATCACTACAATTAGCATGAGTACATAACGAGAGGAAGCGTGTGAGGTATGGCTCGCCTTACAACGATGCATCAGTCAAAACGGTCGTTTTTATCATTCGTATGACATTTTCCCGCACAGAATACAGCTTTACAAAAATATGTATGGTAATACCAACATAGACGACACACCTCGTTTAGGCGACCAGCGCCGGATCGGATCCAATATATCATTGTCATGCCCCTCAAGGGGAGTTGATGGCAGAAATGAGCATACAACATGAAAACAAACAAAATATACGTCACATCTTGTTATGATTTCAATCACCTGATTCGATTAAGATAAATGGCCATGGTGAAAGAAATACTCCCATCTGACCTAAATTATTCCAGGGGGGTGTTTCACAAAGATCCTAAGTTGAACTTATCTCTAAGTTGGACTTAAAAATTATGGAAAGCCATTAGCATCTTTGAAAACATTTTGTAAAAGTTATTTTGAAAGGCATTAATTGTTTATTCAAATCATTCATACTTTCTATCATCAAGGAGATTTCATGTTCTGGATGTGGAATTAATAAAAAGTCTAAAATACTTGAATTTCTGCTTTTGAATATATTTCATTTTAAGGCTCCAATGGCTGTCCATAATTTTTAAGTCAAACTTAGTGTTAAGTTCTACTTAAGATCTTTGTGAAACACCCCCCAGGTCTCCAGGATTTGAAATTTAAAACATCTTCAAGCGATTGCTATGGCTCTGCATGCCTTGGGGATTATATGTCACTGTCTGTGACAGGATTTTGATATTCATATTTAAACAATTTCTGCAATGAATCAAAGAATTTTTTTAAAACGTTTCCTATATTCTAAATAAACGCCTTTAATCATTGAATTGTAGACTTTCGGTCAGATCATATAGCAAACGTTCATATACATTGTAACTATGAAGGGCAATGGAAACGTCTTTGGAGTTATAATCATTTGAATTATAATACAATAAGTCATTACTTCTTCTTCATCACCATAACAATCATAGCAATTATAACGATTTTTTCGCCGTATGTCACTGTCTGAAACAGGTTTTTGATATTTTTTGTATTCGATAATTTCTGTAATGAATAAAACAAAAATCATAATTGTTAACGTTTGCTATATTAAAAACAAAATTTAATTATTGAATTGTAGGCTTTTATTTAAACGGTCAGAGTTATAGGGGTAATGGACAAATCCTTGGAATTATAATCATTTGAAATATAATACAATAATTCATTACTTCATCATCATACAAATCATAGGGATTTCATCATAATGATACAAATGACAAATGATAATGAGACTCGAACAACGGACCATGATTGTGATGTACATGTTTTGATCTCCAAACTAACGCAAATTACCTTACATTATCATCTCGTATGCTTTACCAAAAAAATGTTTGATATGAAACATCGCATTGAACTGAAATTGAACTCCAAACCAGTCTGAATGACTCTAGCTTCCCTTGGATTATTTTCTTCATGAAAGACTGGAGAGAAAGAAATTACAGACCACGGAAGTCGAAGAGATCTCATCCAATTTGTTGGCGGTTTAAACAGGTGACTGCCCTGAGTCTGTATACCCGCATATATCACGATCAATAACCCACTTCGTATCATTATGTCATTATAAATCATTGATGTTGGAAAGAAAGTGTTGATAAAGAAAATGAAGAAAAAAAGAAAGAAAAAAAATCACTAGTGAAACTACCAGTGGATGCGTCAGATCAAGAAAAACAGACAAATATGTCAGGAGCCTGTCCCGATCGAAATAGCCACCCCTTTCGAAGTTACTGAGAACATCTTACCCATTGCCAGAGTCACCAAAACAGACCCCCCCCCCCCCCCCCGTTGGGTCACCTTGCCCGTATCTAGATGATGTACCGGTCAGAAGGATGTAGTATGGCTGGAATTTACGAGCACAGAAACTGACACAAATTTTAGTCGAAATAAGATGTCAGACAGACCCTTAAAATTGGGAGCAAACAGATTTTCAGAACGAAAAGTTTTTGCCGTAAATTACCACCAAAAACAAAAATGGTCACCTGAAAACATGACACCAATGTGCCCTCACATCCCCCCCCCCCTCCGTCACATAATAGCGAATAGCGCTCACTGACACCCAGGTACACAGTTTTTTCTTTAAGTTCAAACGCGCTGAAATTCTCGGCAAATGTGTGTCTTAACGATCTCGCTGGCGCGTAAGACGACCGCCAAACAAATGAGGTATAGATAGTTCGTAGGAAAAATTATTTAGCCCCCGGCCCCGGGTTTATAGGATTAAATTAATTTGTAGATATTGCTTACTGATATATTTGTTGGTAATTGGTGGCTAGTTTTGTCGGTAATCGGTGGCCTCTACATCCCCCCACCACTGAAAACGGTCTAGCGACGCCCCTGCGCAAGATACGTCACAGGGTTGCCAATTTGTGTTCGATTAATCGTAACTACCTAAATAACAACTTTCTTATTTTCAGCCGGATTTCGCTCAAACTGCACTGACCTATTTTTAATATTTTCTGCTTCAATTAAAACCAACTTAATAACAATTAAGGTGCACTTCCTTTTTAAACAAACCAGCTTCGCTGTCTCAACATGTTCTAGATATAAAGAAAATATGTTTTACATTCTGATCTTCATAACTATGATATTTGGAAGTCTGCCAATCGTTGTTTATCTACTGTCTGTCAGTCGCAAATACAACAGAGAAATGCACGGTTTCCAGCAGCAACGAGGAGGAACGGACACTCG